AATTAAAAAAACGGCAAAGTGGCAAGGCTTGCCCACCCTGCGTTGGGGGGGCACAGTGACTCATTTGGGGGGCCATGGCCCGAAAATGACCCCCCATGACGCCGATCCTGATCCAAGGCATCTTATACCTGTTCTTTCTGTGTGAACGACAGTTTTGACTTGATTAAAGCATTTGATGATGTTTCTTAACAAAATATCACTACTTGCAAAATAGGGTTGATAATAAATACCACTATTTTATTCAGAAAAAGTGCAAAAAGACAACAGAAGACAACAGTCCGGCTTTAAGAAATACATTATTTATATTTAATGTTTACTCAAAGCTTTCTGGAGGGCTTCGTATTAAACGATGGTTACATTCAGATTGAAGCCCTTTGTTTAGAAATAATTCAAATGACCTTCAAACATCAACAGAGACACAAATCTAACTAACACCCATGACAAAACCAGAAGAAAAGGAGATAACAGGTTCTTTTGTTCAGCTGTCACAACATGGTTTGAATTTCCTGACACATCTGCAGCTTTGAAGTCACACCTGAAACTAAAATAAAAAGAAAGGTCCACGTAAAAACGTTCTCTCTTAAAGACGACAGACAAATCCAATCAATGGGCTTATTTAAAAAATGTGATCATGACTCCTTCTGATGATACTGCGGCCCATTCCCAAACCGCCCCCTACACCCTACACCCTACCCCTCCATTTGCGCGTTCACGCGGAGGGTCCGCCATATTGAGGGCTGTTCCAAACCAACGAGTGTGGAGCGGTGTGGAGGGGGAGTGGGCTATCAAGCCCTCAAACAGCGAGTCTGAAGCTGTGCTGACTTGAGACCTGCTTGAGACCAGTCTCTACCTGACCGGAGTCACGCTGTGTGTGTCTGTCAGGAAACAGTATTTCCAGCAAACATCCACTGATAAACTGCGATGTTAACAACCTCATGATAACCTCATGTTTTAACTTAGGATCATACCTATGTTTAGTCTAGAAAAAGGTAAATGTGTATTTTATTATGAAGTTGACTGTTGCAGAAACTAAGAAGCTTATAAACATCAGGTTTAAAACTAACAGAGCTTTACAAAAAAGTAACACAATGAAAGATGTTTGGAGTTTTATTTCAGTTATTAATTTACATTTTTTGTCTAAGAGATGCGGATTTGAAACCGTTGTTACATACAGTTAGGGCATTTCCTGTTTCTGCCGGAGAGAGGGGAGGCCGTCCCAAAGCTTGCTGCTGTATTTACTCCCTCCATCTGACAGGAGGGAGCCTCGTTGAGCTGCGAGTGTGGCTACAGACGGAGTTCACTCCGTCACGGAGGGTTAGGGTCGAGGGAGTGGTTTGGGATTGGGCCTACAGATCTGCTGTAAACTAGCTAGCTAACATAGCTAACCTAGTCAGTTCAGATATACTGACAAACACTTAGACAGACTAACTCCGAGACAGAGACAGTTGATCAGCTTCTTGCAGCGTTTGGTTTCTGCAGCTTTTAGTAAACGCTGCGCATGTCTCCTCAAGTTGCTGAATGTTCTCTAAATGCTGCATGTGTTGTCAAGTTGCTCACGCCTGACGATGTTTCTTCATCTGGAACATTTGGGTTTCTATATCTGCATCCTGTCTGAAGCTGCAGCACGTTGGCACCGGTAGACAGCCATAAAAAGGTTGATAAACAAATGACATAGTTGATGCAAAACTGTCAGCAAATGCTTTTTTTCGAGCTTTTAAATAGAGATGTCCTGCTTTTCTCTGTTTTATGCCATAAAAGTGAATATCTTTGGGGGTTTCTGATTGACGAAACAAGTCATTTAAGATAGTTTGTGATGAATTAGTGTCCGTTGAAAAATAATATTTTTTAATTTCAAACAGTGGTAACAATTGTGGGATTTTAATTCTGTACTTTTTTAAAAGTGTGAAATGCATCGTAAAAAACAACTCTTTAAATGTCCCTGTTTGTTTCTCCTGTACAAATCAGATCACCTGTGATTTCTACACGAGAAATCTACCTGGGAAATCAGGTTTTACAGTAACTAGGATCTCGTGACATTTCAAAGACAAATGACCCGGATAAAAGTGTGAAAGCTGCAGAGACGAACAGGAGCAGGATACTGGAGTTAATCTGTACAAACGCACGATGGAAAAACAGCTCTGCAGTGTGACGGTTTATTCATTAAAAACTCATCCTGGATCAAAGTCGATGTTTCCGATGTTTAGTGCACAGAAAGCACAGCTGGTTAGTGGATCATCAAATTACTGCAGCAACACATTACATCTCTAGAAGTCTAACGACATACAGAGAATCCCTTTCTGCTCCCGAGGCGTTGCATACGGAGACATTTCTGTGTTTGTTTACACTGTAAACAAACCTCTGTTGTGTCTCCAGGGAAGAGGCTTCTAAACATGTCGTGTAGTCTGGGAGATACTGGGAATGTGGGGTCATGGATTAACCTTCAAACTATTCGGTTGATTGGGATTTAAAGAAATACAACAACAGGATCCTGTTCGACCCAATTAGACTGAACTCCTGGACGCTGTTTAGAAACTAGGAACTGAGACAGAGGACGAATGGAGCACTTTCAAAATGGAGCACTTTCAAAATGTATATTTCTGGAGAGAACATAGATTAATATCACAAATATTAATCTGATTTATTATTTATTTTAAATTCTAGTTTACATTTTTGACTGCTGAATTAATCTTTTTTTTTTTAAAGTTTGTAAATTAATCTTGTACAATAAAGTAAAAAAGACTGATCTTGTCCAGAATTTGAGAGCCTGATCTCAGAGCTGATGTCACATGACACCGGTCACATGATCAGTGTGCAGCGTCATGACCATGGATGTAGTTGGTCATGACGCAACAGCAGATCATGTGATCAGGAAACACAAGCAGGGCGAACACTTCCTGATTATCCAAGTGATTAAAAACAGAACGGCGGCGTATCAGAGTCAATGTAGGTACAACAACATATTAAAATAATTAGAATAAAGTAGAAATATTTGATATTATCTGAGATTTAAATGGTAAATTAATGGGACAAAAAAACTCAAATGTATTAAAAAAGTAATATTTTCCCCAAAAATTAATTTTCACTTTTTGTAAAAAGAAAAATGCAAATAAGTAAAGAGCACCTCAAGATAAACGTCTTTATCTTACACGTTATAAAATAGCGTTTTGTCTGAGATTAAAAAGGTCAATTTACACACAAAAAGCGACTTGTCATTGAAGCAGTGAGTTTAAGAGGAAAATACTGCATATATTTTGAGTCAAAAACTAGATTTTTTTGTTGAATTTTGAGATTTTCTGAGATAAAAAAAATTGAAACTGGAATTTCCTCAAAAGGATATCAGGTATTTCGAGAAAATGCATTACTACATGAAATTAGGCGGGGGTTTGACTCGTAAACAATCTGATATTTTTTAATATTGAAATTCTAAATAAAATGGTGGAAGGGCGGGATTATTCAAAGGAAACATCTCAAAAATTCAAGGGTTCACATTGTTTGTTTCTAGGATAAAAAGTTTTGATATTTTCAGAGATTTTAATGTTAGATTGAGGAGAAAAAAACTCACAAATTGAAGCTAAAAAACGAGAATAAAGTTGAATAGACCTACAGTGACTTTAATACGCCGTCGTTGCTCCGCACTCCTACTTATTTACCTTCCACTGATCAGGGTTGTTTTGAATTTCTTTAAAGGAAGTTGTGTGTGCTTTAATAAATGTAAAATAAATCATGAGGCTACAGTTTCAGTACCGACCGCTGCAGCTGTAGTTATATCCGTGCACAGAGGCCGCCTGCCAACAAACCACAACATTGATCCTTTTCAAAGACTCTTCTGGTCCTTAAGACACAAAGCAGGAAACACGCTCAGGTTGTGAACAAAACAATCTACATTACAGGTTGTCAAATGTACATAAAATGCCTAAAATAACCTCCAGATCACAGGTCGTTAGATCCATGAAAACAAGCCTCAAAATCAAAGCCTGGATTTAAACCATATTTTAATTTGAGAGTCGGTGATCGATGGATGTTTCAAGAGTCTTTGTCCGGCAGAAAACAAAACTTTCGAGGAAAAGTCCAAATGTAACTCTTCCCGTTGTCGGCTGGTGTGTGACCTGCCTGCTCGTGTGTGTGCTGCAAACACACACACACACATTGATAACTCTGTGATGTGTTTCAGAGTCAGGGTGTCATCGAGTCTCATTCGCAGAACACTGGTTTCCTCCATTTCCTGCAAGGCACTACGTGAGGGCAAAGGCAGAGGTCCTTTTTAAAGGGGCGACCGCGGAGAGAAAACTCACTAAAGTGTTAGACGAGATGATTTGTCAGAAGCAACTACATTTAGGTCGACTAGAAAAAGCTTTGGGATTAGAGTAGGATTTATTTTGTTACTGATAAAAATAGGGTTCACAAAATAGCAGAAAAACACCACATTTATATTAGAGTAAACCGCCCTGTTTGGAGAGACAAGGACAGAGAACAAAACCATTGAGCTTTTCCCTGCAGAAGGTTGAGTGGGTAATGGACGTGCAATTAAAACAAGATATAGGGATGCTTCATCAGCACTATGGTGACCAATCAAGAGTCAGAAGTGAGCCAAAAAGTCAGACTTTTCCTCAAATAATTCAACATGTGTTTAATCACAAGCTCTTTTAGCGTGATATCTACAATGTGTAAGTGATTAAAAAAAAGGAGCCCCAGAAAAACACCAAACCTCTCTCAGGAGCAGAGGAGCTTGGAAGCCCCAACAGGAAGAAGCTTAGGGACAGAACATTAGAAAAGGAATAATCCCTGCTCTGATTGGAAGACAATATTTCTCAGGAACGACATTTAGGTCGACTAGCGTAATATCTACATTTTAGTTGTTAATAAAAAACGTAGAAAACAGCCCTGTTTGGTGAAGAGAGGAGCGAACACACTTTTCCCCGCAGAGATATCCTCTGTGTTCATGGACGTACGGTTAAAAAGAGAGTGGGAAGAAATAAGCCCCGCCCCCCTGGATGAAGTTAATGCAAAAGGGCACCACTGTTTTCTGTAGTGACTAATCAAGAGTCATAAGTGGAAGAGATGAAAAGTCAGACTTTCCCCCGAATAATTCCACATTTCATTAAATCACTGTTCAGTATTCATCCTTGCTGGAATCAGAGGGAAAAGCAATAAAATATTTTGGTTTGAATGGACGATCCTCAGAGGGACGTTTTATTTCCTCAGTCGCTGCTGTCGTCGTCGTCATCGTCGTCCGACATGTTGTTGAACTTTGACCCCAGCTGGCTGATGGAGTCCGCTCTCGGCGCCAAGCCTCCCGCCGTCAGCTGCCCGAAGCAGAACTCACACACTCGCACGGGTTTGGAGGACTGGCTGGGCAGTAGGAACTTCTTATCGGAGCACGGACCGCAAACCACGTAGCCGCATTTCCTGCAGTGATGGCGGCGACTTACGGGCGTGAATTTAACCTTCTGGCAGCGCATGCAGACCGTGGCCTCCGAGTCGGGAATCCAGACGGCCGCGTGCTCTCCCGTCGGCGCCTTCCCGCTCTTCTGCAGCAGATCCACCACGCACTTCCCGATGTGGTTCATCCACTCGGACTTCTCGGTGGCGGTGGCGGCATAAACGGCGAAGGACTTGGTGGGCGTTTTGATGATCCAGCCGTTCCGCAGGTCTCCCTCGTCGGGCACCGTGTCGATGGTGACGCTCTCCAACGGGATGATGTGCTGCTTGTTGTACTTCTTCTTCTGGATCACGATGTTGCCGTACACCAGGATGTCGTTGAAGAGGAAGAACTGGCGCGCCTTGGGTTTCTTGCGGCAGAGTTTGGTGAGCACGCCCTCGCCGATCAGCACGCGGCCCGGGATGACGAGCGGCTGGCCGGCCGTGCCGAAGCAGCCCTCGACTACCCCAATGCGTTTAGAGTTCGCCTCGCTGTTCGCTAGCCGGTCCACCATCTTCCCCTGCAGGGACACACAGAGCAAGGGTGGAGGGAAAATATATGTTAGATTTTGTCAAAATGAGGCAAAGAATGGCTGACAATTTGGAGAAAATCTAAAATACAGGGATGATGATGATTTCTGCAGTGGACCCTGAATCTCCCTGGACCAATGGGATTTTGGATTATTGCAGTAAATAATCTCTGTGTCACACAAACTTTTATGCTACTTACAGGTTAGGCTATAAAGGAACTACAGCACGGTCACATGACTTCACGTCACCACCGCTAAGCTAAAGGAGGCTAATGTTGGGCTATAAAGGAACTACAGCACGGTCACATGACTTCACGTCACCACCGCTAAGCTAAAGGAGGCTAATGTTGGGCTATAAAGGAACTACAGCACGGTCACATGACTTCACGTCACCACCGCTAAGCTAAAGGAGGCTAATGTTGGGCTATAAAGGAACTACAGCACGGTCACATGACTTCACGTCACCACCGCTAAGCTAAAGGAGGCTAATGTTGGGCTATAAAGGAACTACAGCACGGTCACATGACTTCACGTACAAAAGGAAGAATACAATCATAAGAGCTAACAGAAACACCAGGAGCATTTTTTCTTTATCTCTGGCTGTGACCCTGAACGCAGCACAGCTCATTGGCAGCTTCGCTTACAGCTGGAAGGCAGGGGTCAAAGGTCACGGCGGAGGGAAGAAATGTGTACACACACAAACAAACACAATTTATATAACTCAGAACCAGTGGGGAAAGAAGTACTCTTAAAACCAAAGTGTAGAAATGCTCTGTTACAGTAAAAGTCCTGCATTAAATATGTTACTCAAGTAAAAGTACACAAAATATCAGCATAATATATTTAAGTACCAACTCTGTGTAGGAGAGAAACTCTGGAGGGAACACAGGGATTTCAGCCTTTGCAGACCATGTACTAAGACATTGAACACACTACAGGAGAGGGAAAAGCAAACTACGGCCTCTTTAAGTTCATCATGTGACATTAAGACCATAAAATAACGAAGCATGAAAAGATGATGTGATCAAACGACTTGTCCAATTTAAAATATAAAAAACGTCTTACTTTAAAACTTGTGTTGCATTCAGACTTTTTGCCATAATGCATTTCAATGGGATGGATATTAAAGTCAACATGGACGGCCCACCAGTGATTACAGACTCTTTATTCAGTGAGGGAGAGTTTGAGTTGCACATCGTGAGTTTCCCTCTCTGCAGACCGTCAGGCTTTACTGAAGCAGAAGGAATGAGGTTTTTCCAGAGGGACCGAGGTCACGAGGAGACCGGTTCACGTTGCTAAGAATAGACCTTACGGGTTTTCCAATTGCAGTTTCTCTTTCCAACGGCTGTTTAGTAATGACTCTAAAGACTGTACACATACTTTAACTCTTACAGATCACTCAATGAAATACTAGAAAGTTATTTTACACAATTGTAAAATAAGAAAGCCCACATTAAGCTGACTTAATGTCCGACTGATCATTTCAAACTTAAAGATATTTCATTGTTTAATTTTACAATTGTGTAAAATACATAATCCTCACATTTAAGAAGCTGGAATGAAAGGTTGTTCTGCAATTCTGCTTAATGAAGAAATTACAAACAAAGTGGATACCGTTAGTCTGTGCACCGATTCAAGATCTGAAACACCCTCACGCATCAGAGTGCCACCAAGAGCTAGCCTGACTCCATTAGCATGTCAGAAGGACGCGCGGCACAGTGCGAGAGGGAAAATGAGAGGCTGTTTGTTTATATGCGTAGTTCTGGTGCTGCTCAGCAGGAGCTTGAAAGCCAGTGCCGTGAACTTGGGTTACAGAAACAGCAGAGAGCGCTATGACTTATTCATAAGGCGCGCTGCTCTCTCGCTCAGTTTACAAGGACCCGTCACAACCTGCTGCGACCGAACCAGATTAAACATTCAGACCTAAAAAACAAGAAAGAAAAAGCTCTCGACAGAACAGTTATTTGACGTCTCGGGGGTTGTTAGTTCACCGCTGTGCGTTTGTCAGACTTGAGTGACTTAAAATGATTATTTAGGACTCATTAAAGCAAACTGACTAAAAGTTTGAGGCAGCGGGAGAGCTTAATAATCGCCTTGGTTACCCCCGTCAGAAAGGGCTGTTGACAGCAAGGGGGTTAGAATATATAAATAAACGCTTATTTTCCCAGGTGGCCATACGGTATAAATCAGGCCGATTGTATCGCTCATCCAGCCACTGATGGATGCAGCTCTGTCAAACCATGGCTGCTGTTAGGTGGTAATGTTCCCAACAGACCTCACACTCCTGCTGGTACCAAAGCAGAGGAACACTGTCGTGGCTTCCTTCCTTGTCTTTCCATCAAGCCACTAGACGCCTTAAACAGACAGTTCTAACTCGTTTCTTTCCTTTAAATTACTCACAGTTTGAAGTGTTGCTTGGCCTCCGATGGTTTAAGATGTTGCG